TATTTGTTCGTCTATCTTCCCTGTCTCTTCCTGATGTGAGTGATCATGGCTCTCTCCAACATTTTATCGCTTGTATACCTTAGCGAGATTTGACCTTTTTCCAAGCCCCCACGCCATCTATCTGTTATCTCCAGTTTTCTCTTGTTCTGTGAGGAGATTGTTCAGCATTCACTGCCTTACAAGAAGATTGGTACACTTCGACGTTGTCTAACGATTAGTAAGCATGTCACGGCAGATTGATTATGACTGAATAGTAAGTTCGATCCTTACTGACTGCCCCATAGTTTCTGCCTTGTGCCACTTCTAATCTACGTTCGGGCACACCAATGTAGTATAATGGTGAGTAAACTTGAGTCGGTAGATCAATTACAACGGAATAGTGAGATCGATCCTCACTAGGTGCCCTATAATTTAGGCCTCGTGCTAGATGTAAGCTACGTTTAGAAAATCCTTTCAGCACTCCGACGTGGTATAATGGTTAGCATGCTTGCCTCAGTGGATTAATTACGACTATATAATCAGTTCTATCATCATTGGATCACCCATACTTCCGGCCTTGTGCCACACCTAAGCTACGCTTACAAACACTATCGATGAGAATGTAACTGTTCAGCAGTCTTTTTTTGTTGTTGTTCCTTACCAAAGTTTCCTTTCTCTTATTACTTTTATTAACGTTTGCAATGGAACAGTTGCTAATCTATTGCTAAAACCTTTTTGATTGCTAATCTACTGCTAATCCTATGCGAGCTTGTATTTCGGTGTCGCGTTTTCCATCCTCGCCAAACATTTAAAATTCCATTGATGTTAATACTTTCATTTCGTAATTTGCATTTTGACCTTCTGCTCTTGCTGACAACTATAATTTCTAGTATGGTACAGTCGATGTTTAGTCCATTCATAAAAAAGCAATGACTAAACATCAACTGTAACAAACTAGAAAATATGGTCTACCTACCTTGTCTAAGACGTCCTGTAGTTTTGTTTCTCTGCCATTTGCGTATCTTATATTGTTGAGATGACGCCCTCCGATAATAAATCCTGTTAAGGTCTCCAGATCGCTTATCTGGTAAAAAGCAATAAAACTATTTACTTTTGCATTTAATGGGATGTGCGGTTAATGTAGCGGTTACTGACCCGAAAAGTAGAATCAAGGACCTGAGTTCAAATTCCATCCTAATCTTCTGCATTCACTTTCACGTTAATACCTTTTGACACTATCTCTTCTCTACTACTAGTGACGAGCTCAATAATTAGACTTGTCCAAAACTTATTGAATTTAACAAAGAAAAGTGGGAATAATAGACAAACAATGGATTGTAAGGATTTAGAACCTGCAGCAGCTACTAAAAGAAGAGCAAAAAATGCGAATTACAAACTGTAAATATCAAAATAAAAGTATAACAAAAAATTAAACATCTAGGAAGTGTTTTAACAGAAGGAGGAAAATCTAACCCCGAAACTCAAAGGTGGATTGGGTTAGTGAAAGATGCTTTCTAAAAGCTGAGTATAGTATTAAGAAATAGGAAAACTTATTGAGAAAGAATTAAAAGAGTACTTAAATATTATGTGATATCGTTTCAACTATATTCTCGTACGTTATCCACAATCCTTTCACAGATGAAGGAAACAGGAATGTGGTTTTATACAAGAATAGTGAGAATACCATAATAAATGACGTTTTACAGAAGGTTGCAGAGAATAGTGTTTTACCGAAGGATGCTGAGATGCTGAGAATAACAGAATATATAATGTTTTACAGAAGGATGCTGAAAATAACAGAATAAAATATGTTTTACAGAATGATGCTGAGAATAACAGAATAATGATGATTTACAAAAGGATTATGAGAATAACAGAATAAATTATGTTTTACATAAGGAATGCTGAGAATAACAG